ACGTACCCGCTGATCCGTGGGGCAGAGCTTTTGGGGATCTCCCTCCTTGAAGCCGTTGGGGGGATCGTCGCTGGGGGGGGGAAGGTCCTGGCACAGGAGACAGCGCCATTCCGGGCTGTGGGATCAGGAGGAGGGATCCATTTGAGGGATCCGGTGGATTTTCCCTCGGGATCGGGGTCCAGAGCTCCCTCAGATCAGGCCCCAGAGATCCCCCAGAGATCCGGGCCCAGAGATCCCTCAGGGATCAGCGGGACGAGGTCCCCAGGGATCGGGGTCCAAAGCTCCCCCAGGGATTGGGGCCCTGAAGATCCCCTGGGATCAAGGATGAAGGGAATGGTGGAGATAGCAGTGGATCCCACAGGATTTTGGATCAGCCAGGGGAATCCCAGGGGAATGAAGGGGGGATCCCGGCTCCCCAGGGATCCAGGAGGTCCCAACTGACGGGAGATGAACGCCCCGTGGGGGAGAGGAGATCCCCAAGGGATGTGGGGCGTTGTGGGGATTCCCCAGGAGGATCCAGGGATCCCGGAGGAGGAGCTGGGCTTCCCCCAGGATTTGGGATCAAGGGGTAGATCCCAACGCAGAGGGGGATCAGGAGATCCCAGAGGATCCGGGTTCAAGAGCTAGATCCTTCCCCCCAGGGCTCTCTGGTCGATCCACATGGATTGAGAGCAGATCCCCAGGGATCACGAGGGTGAACCTGGCCCATGGGGAGGGAAAATCCCACCTGGGGATCCAGTAGGAAGCAAGGACTGGAAAACCTGGCAGCACCACCCTCAGAGCAGGGATGGGTGGATCCCCAAAAATACCAATGGATGCTAAAAAGCTCCCCTGGATCCCCCAAAACACCAGTGGATCCCGAGGGAGAGCGGCTCCCAAAGCTCCCGCAGTGGCCATGGATCCCTGGGTTGGGGAAGGACTGGATGTGGGGCGGAGGGATCCGGGATCTGGGGTAGGGAGAGGGGGGGGGCAGCAATTCCACCCCCATCCTTGGACCCAGAAGCAGTAGTTCCCCTGGGAGATCTGGCAGGGATCCCTGGGATCCCCTGGGAGTAGATCCCCTGGGATCTGGCAGGAGATCAGCCCATCCCACAGATCTGGTGGCACAGGAAGGTGACAAGTGGATCCCAGGGATGCAGGGAGGTGGGGAGGGGACAGAGTGGATCCCAGCAGATCCCAGGGACACGGGGATGTGACAAGCAGATCCCAGAGGATCCCAGGGGCACAACAAGAGGCTCCCAGGGGCGCAGGGAGGTGATCAGTGCATCCCAGGGACATGGGGAGGTGACAAAGTGGATCCCAGCGGATCCCAGGGGCGGAGGGAGGTGACCAGTGCATCCCAGGGACAGGTGGAGGTGACAAAGTGGATCCCAGCGGATCCCAGGGGCGGAGGGAGGTGACCAGTGGATCCCAGCAGATCCCAGGGATAAGACCTACCTGGGGACCTCCTGGAGGGCAGGGAGGTGACAGCTGAGGTGGTAGCAGCGCTCACAACAATCACACATCACCACGGCCCCGGCCCGGCAGCAGACGCGGCAAGAGGAGACACTGGGGAGTTGGGAGGATCCCTGAATCCCCCCCGAGGATCCGGTGGGTGCCAGCACCCCAGGGTGCTCCGGGATCAGCCCCACGGGTTTGGTGTCCTGGGTGTCCCCGATGGCCGCCTCCTGCTGCTCCTCCTGCCGGAGGGGAGAGGGGGGTGAGAGGGAGGGACAGACGGAGGAAGGTTTGGGGGGGGGGGGGGCAAGGGAAGGGACGGGGGGGGTCGGCTGCGCCCCCCGCTCGATGATGATGAGGCTGAAGTCCTCGGCGGAGGAGCCGGGGAAGACCCGGAAGACGGGGGGCTGCGACGCCCCCGAGAGATCCAGGTCCAAGCGCTCCAGGCTCACGCGGGGCACCTTGCGGAGGAGGGGGCTGACGGGGCCACTGGGGGGCCGGCTCCTGGGGGAGACAAATTTTAGGGAGACACTCCTCAACGACTACCCCCCAGGGTAGATTTCCTGGGGGTCCTGATCCCTTCAGGACATGGGGTGACAAGAGGGAGGGCACCCAGACAACCCGCAGGACAAAGGGACAGGGGGACACCAGCCACCCCCCAACATGGGGGGACCCCAGGGACAGGGAGGACAAGGG